TCTTTTTTGGTATCTGTTAGTTCAATAAAAAAACAGGACCAAAGCATACAGGGTTAAAAGGGTAATTTGTTAACATTTACCAAACAACAATATTTCATTCAGGACTTAACCATTCTGACCCTCTTAACCATTCTGACCACTTAGCCATTCTGCACCAAACCATTCAGCAACTGCCAAACAGCAAGTGACTTAGTTTAAGGCTACTGAGCAGTGGTTCGCGTAGTTAGAAAAAGCTTGGGTTTGAATTATGTTGTTACAAAATTTATGGTTTTTTTAGCTTGAAACTGGGTTCGATGTGAAACATCCACTCGGATGATTTGAAACCTTACTTGCTGGATTTAAAAAAGATCCACACTTTCGTGGCTATTCTACATTTTTTGAGGCAGCGATCTAGAGTTTTTCTTTATTTGTACATCAGAGATATAAAACGAAATCCATATCAATCCCTCATCTATCCAAATAATTAATTAAAATCCAAGGAGGAATAAAAATCCCCTTGTGGTCACGGAGGTTCAAATGCGGTGACTCCGGGCTATCTGCAAAACAGGTGGTCGTCCTGAGATTAGTCGGCTTGCATAGCGTGTTGGATATCCAGATTAATCAAAAAAAAATTCAGAAAACAAAATAAAGGGTTGTATTACGTTTTACCTAGAAAGCATGTAGTCGTCTTGGGATTAGTCGGCTCATATAACGGGTTAAATATTCAGGTTAATCAAAAAAAAGATTTGTTCATATATACAAATTATTTGGGATCGATGTAGATTCTTGAGTTGCAACTGTATCTTTCTTGAATCAAGACGGATTTAAGGGTTGTTTAGTTGATTTTTCATTAAGTCTCGTATCAATAAAATTGTATGTGTAGATTAATCCATCTGTATAAATTGGAATATTTTTGTTTCTAAAAGTTTTTTCATAGATAAAATTAGCATTTTTTTTTTTTGGGATAGGCAAGTTCAAATGATTATTTTTTTTTTTTTTGCTTTCTGCATAAAACTCATCTTTAAAAGTTTACCGAATAAGCCATTTTTTGTATTATTAAGCCACTATCAGACAATTACAGATAATTATATATCGCTCGTCGAATAAGTTGTAAATCTCATTAATCTTATTAAACTGCTAACAAACAGACACTTAAATTATTTTTATACATACATTTTTTATGTAAAACGAAATCGGATAAAAACCCGACAACAACTCATGAAGTGATGATTCATTTTGAATTATGTTATCTCTACTTTGGTGTTGAAAAACGACCTCACGAAGGGGAGATGCACATGCACTCACCGTGGCCCCGCCCCCCTTACATTTGCTTAAACAATACGATAACCCAGATGCAGTGCACCACACCACACGAGATCCACGCCCATTCCTATCCACTGCCACATCAGCATGGACACCCCCACGTGGCATTTCCACCTACGCAAACAATGAATCCTAAAATCTAAACTTAGAGTGCCACGTAATCAAATAATCATATGCGGTCACGTGGGCAGTCCCCTACTTGGTAATATGAATCACCGGCAGCGATTTGGGACTAAAATGTCACGTGGGTTCCACCAGTTGTCAAAAGGAACCATGGCCATTCAACCTTGTGATTTTATTTAACATACGGTGTCGTTTAGCCGTTCATTTGGCCACGGGGTTCCCCCATTGTCTGCCTTCTAATCTCAATCACATCATGCCTTATCCTTTTTTGTTCTATATTGGATTGGAATTGATCCCACCAAATTCAAGATAATTTAACATCAGTTATTCGTCTTTTAACATGTTAAATGTGTGATTTTAAATAAGGTTTAATTTTATACTGTTTATGGCCTTTCATGTAAAAATATAGCTTATTTTAATGTTTTCTTTAATTTTTATTAGAAGACAAAAGTAATATGTCTTTTATCATCACATATGTAATTTGTATATATGTATCATTGTTATCTCATTTTACAGTACAATCAAAAGTTTTATATGTAACATGACCTCTAAAAAGATTAGAACGTCCATGATCAGTCATGTGTTTGAGGGTGTTTCAGTGTGTCATATGAAACAGGGTCTTTGAATCAGAGGCGGACCAAAAAAGTTCAAATGGTGTCATAATTTGACTATAAAAAATAGGGAAAAGTACAATAAAAACCAATGAACTTTCTTGTTTGGAATGATTAAGTCCTTGAACTTTTTTTTKGAACAAATAAGTCCTTGAACTTTCCAAAACATGTTAAATATGTCCTTGAACATTCCAAAATATGTTAAATAAGTCATTGGACAATTTTTGGAACAAATAAGTCCTTGAACATTTCAAAAAATGTTAAATAAGTCCTTGGACAATTTTTGGAACAAATAAATCCTTGAACAATCCAAAACATGTTAAATAACTTTTTGAAAAAAATAAAGTGGTAAAATAGTGAAAAAAATCCGGAAAAAACCCAATGAACATTCATATTTTGAACGATTAAGCCCCTAAATATTTTTTGAACCAAAAAGTATTTAGATCTATAAAATTAAACAAATATAACAAAAAAGTACTTACATTTACAAAAAAATAATTACCATTTTAACTAGTTGTACAAGTCATTAGAATGTATCCAACATGTTTTATAAAAGTTCAAGAAGTTATTTAACATGTTTTGGATTGTTCAATGACTTATTTGTTCCAAAAATAGTTCAAGGACTTATTTAAAAAATTTTGGAATGTTTAAGGACTTATTTAATATATTTTGGAATGTCCAAGGACTTATTTGTGCCAAAAAATTGTCCAAGGACTTATTTGTGCCAAAAAATTGTCCAATGACTTATTTAACATGTTTTGGAAAGTTCAAGGACTTATTTGTTCCAAAAAAAAGTTCAAGGACTTAATCATTCCAAACAAGAAAGTTCATTGGTTTTTATTGTACTTTTCCCTAAAAAATATCTAGTTTTTCTTCTTCACAATATTAGTATGAATTAAAGTTTTATTTTATAATAATTGATTAATAAAAATGTAATTTAATTATTTTTGTAATTATTTATAGTGTTTTGTATAAATTATTTATAAATAATGGAATCCAATTCCATTTCAAATCCTACAAACCAAACGCATTAATGATTTCAAGTTTATTTCAATCCAAATCCTTCCATAAAATCTAAATCCCTCAAAAACAATTATACAAACGAAACGGGTCCTAAGAGTCTATTTGTAGAAATCATTGTTGTGTTTGGTTTATAGGAACTGAAATGTAAATTGGATTCCATTATTTATAAATAATTTATAGAAAAAAATTATAAATAAATATAAAAATAATTGAATTACATTTTTATTAATCGATTATTACAAAACAAATGTTTTTTAAAATTTTCTAAAACCTTATTGTATACAATCTTACGAAATCTCATGAAATCCAGAGCACCTCTAAGGATTTCAAAATCTTATGTTTGAAATATTTCAACTAAATTCTAGAATTTCAAATCCGAACAATCTTATTGTATACTAATTTATTGTGATTTTTATTATGGATAAATCAATCTAAAGACCGATAAGCATTTTTTTTATAAAACACGAGCGTTCTCGTTTAAACCCGCTCTATCTTCTAATTACTAAACATCAAATAAATAACATAAAAAACATAATCATTCTATAAAACATATTACTTTTATTTAAAAACAACTTCATATAAGAAACTACAATTAAACAAAAGATACATAAATTACATGTTCCTATCATCCATATTCATAATGAATGACAAATGACATTCAGTATAAATAATAAATATAAAATTCATAAAATATTTTATGATGAATAATACAACATTTATGATAAATAATATACGGCTATGATCCATATTAAATTGATTCATCATAAATGATAATATAATAAAATAACGGAGGATAATATAATATAATGAATAAATAAAAGGTGGATGTTTGAAGGAGGTGGGAAGCACGTGGCTTATAAGGTTTTAGTGGACAAGAGAAGGCCAAGTAAGCTCAACAACTTTGAAAGCAAAATCTTAATTAGACCGCGGCCACCCACCAAACCGTTGTCGTCTCTATCATCTACATTTCAATTTATAGTTAATTACGGAGTTGGTCCCTATGGTTTGATGATTCTATAAAGTTAGTCCTTTAACTTCATTTATTATGGAATACGGAACTTCGTTGTTTGCACATATTTTTCGAAATTACGCACCAAGACATAGACACATGATTTCAGTCGAATAGAATCATTAAATTTATTTCCTTTGCAAGTGGGGTTTTGGTTAAGGTGAAAGGGGCGGGATACAGTGGTTTTGTTGTGTTTTAGGTGGAATGAGCCACTGATTCTTTCACCGTTGTTTGTTGATTTTTCAAGCGAGAGATGGGGATACCGATCGTTTTTGTCTGTGGGTTTTTAATTCAGGGGTTGACTCACCAACAAGCGAAATGAAGATTTTTTTGTTGTGATCAACAGTAAGACACGAGAAAAGATGTTGGTGAGCAAATAAGAGGGAGATGCATGGAGCTAGTTAATATAAACTTTTGGTCCATGTGGTATGTAAAAAAAAACTATTTCTTTGTCCTTTCAGTTTCGAAAGTATAAGATATCACTAGTTTGCAAAAATATACAAATTTGGTCCCTTCCTCTAACGTCCATTAAAAAATTCCGTTAAATGAGGGGTATTTTCGTTCTTTTATCATTTTCTTTGTCTTTTACTCAATCAAAAACCACAATAACCAAAATCATAAAATTTTGATTGGGTAAAAGAGAAAAAATCGTTGAAAGGATGAAAATGTCCCTCATTTATCGGAATTCTTTAACAACCGTTAGAAAAAAGGACCAAATTAGGATTTCTTTTTCAAACCATGATGGTCATTTTGTAATTCATAAACTACAGGGATGAAAATTATTATTTTTACAAACCACAGGGACCAAAATTGTATTTTACTCTTTTTTTTCCCCTCAAATGTAACTATTATTAATTCTAAAAAATAAAAACAACCCATTTTAGGAAAGCATTATAAAATGATACACGTCCAAACAGGCAAACACCCGTGAAAAATGCAAAAGTGGAGAATATTGTGAATACGGTGCTTATAAAAAGAATCGAGGGATCGCCGGAAAACCAAAACTCTTATACCGGAAAACCAAAACTCCGATACCGGAAAACCAGAAGGAATGAAGAGGTGTGAGTTGTGCACCAACGTAGCTCGGATGTACTGCCAATCCGATAACGCAAGCCTCTGTTACGACTGCGATCAAAACGTTCACTCCGCCAATTTTCTCGTCGCCAAGCACTCCCGAACCCTCCTCTGCCATAAATGTCAATCTCCAACTCCTTGGAACGCTTCCGGCCTCAATCTCGGCCGTACCGCCTCCGTATGTGTTAATTGTCTTGACGAAGACTCGTCTCAACGGCGGGTGTTGATGGAAGGAGGGACTAGTCACCGTGGAAACGATGGCTTAGAGGATAATTGTGTTGTGCACGATGATCTACGCGAGGAGGGATATGGAGAGACGGATGATGACGATACGGAACACAGTGATGAGAGTGAGGGAGAGGATGTCGATGAGGATGAGGATGAGGATGCAGAAAATCAGGTGGTTCCGTGGTCGATTGTGGCGTCGGCACCTATCACCGCTTCTTCGAGTAGTGAGGAATTTTCTTCAAGCAGATTGTCATCTGATGATACTAGATCCGGAACTAAACGAGAACGATTGGATGCTTATATCGATTCTGAAGTTCGTATTTCTTATTTTTCTCAGAAAAGGTGTTGATTCAGTAACAAAAATCGTGTAACTAATTGGAAGTCAAATATGATGCAGGACGATACAGTATGTTCATCGGAAAGATCCAACAGTAAAGCTAGAACGGAGATCGATGACGCCATTTCATTCAGATCCTTTAGACCAATTTAGATCAGACAGAGTTGGAGATCATGGTGAAATGTTACAAAAAAGGACTGGAAATAGTTTTGATCATTCACCCTTCGTTGGCAATGATGAATTGATGATTGATGGACATCGTTATGGATGTGATCAGATTACCCTTTTTTCTGTTCAAGTTGGGTTAATGGATTGTTCTTCAATTTCATCCATGTTTTGTTCGTTCAGATTAAAGAAGAGGCCACTTGGCATGGATGGTATGGTCTTTCGATGACATTGCTCCAGGAAATCCAGTTGAAATCTCGTTTTGTTATATCAATTGTTTTGTAACTTTTGTGATTGATGCTTGTTTCAGACAAAAAAGCTTGTCATACTTCATAAAGAAATTGAAAGGGGGTGAATACCATTTGCAAAAGCTCCCACAATTTGTGCAACCCCCATGTCTTTCTATTACTCCATTTCTGCATTCCATATCTCCATTTTTGCCTTAAATTATTTGTGCTGTTGGCATTATTTAATTTTATAGTTACCAAAGACTTTGGAGATAACGTGAGACCAGCCTGATTTTGTGAGACCACAAAATAACACTGCCGTGTTTTTCGTGCCTTTCGCGCTGTTATGCTGTGAAAGTTAAGTGTTATTTTTATGGTCTCGTGGGTGTCACGAAAACAGATTGGTCTCACGAGAACCCAACCTTACCAAAAGAACCACGAAACAAAATGTTTGAAGAGGGTTTAACTATTTATGACCTGCTTCTGCCTTATACAAGTTGAATCAAGGTCCAAGTGTCCACATACCCAAAAGAACCAAATTTCACTGAGCCAACTGAAGACCCAAGTTTTTGACCAGTTGAACCTTCTGTTTTTCGAGCTTGGCAAACTGGGGGTCACATCGGTCGGCTTCCAAAGTTGTAACTGAGATTGTTGATGAACGACAGTGTTCTAGCTGGATTGAGATTGAGACCTATCAGTAAAAACTATTTTTAGGGAAGATTGTAGGCTAAAGAATTATGTTGCAACAAGAGGAAAACCAGCAGAAATTATACTAAATCTAAGTACCATTCAATTTGCACATCAACATCAATGAGAAGAGGTGATAGGGTAGATTATAACCGAAGACATAGACTTTGTTTGTGATTTTAGTGTCATCAAGCATTTTGGTGTAATTGTAATTCACAACGGGTCGACTAGGTGAAAAAGACATACATAAAGTGAGTTAGGAGGTGCGGAGTTGCACACTTGCCAATGTTGTCTCTATCACCTTAGATCGCCATAAGGCAGGGTCAAGGGGGTCGTGCCTCCTAGCAGGGTCTGAGGAAGGTTACAAACTTAGTGGTTTTGGTGACTAAGGAATCAGAAGCTTCTGAGTGTAATCAAAAGCCTCCAAGGCATCAAAAGCTTCTGATTGAGAAGACTTCTGACTTGGAGCTTATGAGTCAGCCTCTGGTCCGTTTTTCCATCCTTATCCACAAGCAGTTATGATTAAACCGCCCAACCCCTGTCATGCTCTCATATAAATATGTAAACCGTTGAATCTGGGTGTGTATATAACTCTATTTTACAGCCTCTAAATTCAGAGGAATCATTGGGTTGTCCCAATACTTAATTTGTGATACCCAAGGCTTATCGGGTCGAATTAGTGTATTTGGAAAGCTGACTACATGATATCCAATTGATTTGTCCATTCTTTTTTTATCAAGGAACCTCGATATCTAACAGGCTTAACAATCAAAAATCAGCAGAAGCTTCCACGAGAAACCTGATAAACCAAGAGAAATGACAATGTCTGGGTAATAACCAGATATGATACGGAACAGGTTTCCGTTGATGTATATAGAAGGAAACTATTCATCTTCTAAAGATTCATTTAAGACCTAAAAGATTTCTTTGCTCCTGGCTTCTCTGCTCCCCATCACCTATGGTCCTCACTTCGTGGATCATCTTTCTCTGCCCCCCTTCAACTTCCATGGCTGAAGTAAGGTCTAAACTGCTACAAGTTCTAATGGTTTCTTTTTTCATTTGATGACTTCAGGTTCATGCATTACTTTTCACTGGGTTCACAGGCTAAGACAGTAGACAATCACCCAGGATGCAACTTGTGATGTGAACTTAAAAGATGGGCTGCTAAAGGGAGGTAACGAAATTTGGCTTACCTGTTTATTTATCCAATGCAGGAAAAGAGTTTGAATTTAGGTTGCTTGTTAAAAGGGTTAGCTCCAAACTTTGAGGTCCAAACTACCAGACTGCCCGCCAAAAGCCGCCCAACAACCCATTTTTGGTCCATTTGTTGGTGCCAAATATCATCCATGAAACCAATCTTGATTCTTGAATCAAGTTATGTTCATTCTATGAAATAGAAAAGATGGAAAGCTCATGTAATGATACAAGATGTGGTCCATTATGCCTTCACAAATGAGTAAATTTGAAGCTTATGTGAGCTTAATGGGAGTCACAACTTATTCGGTCAGCTATACATGACTGTTTGCTAGTGGCTTAATGATATAGAAAGTGACTTATTCAGTAAGCTTCTAGGGGGAGCTTTATGCAGAAAGCCAAGTTTTTCCAACCTGCCCCCCAAATAAAAAACATGCTCCTTCCATTTATGAAAAAACCCTCCCAAACAAAAGTCTTCCCAATCTATACAGACAGATTAATCCACACATACAACTTTATCCATACAGGACTTAATGAAAAATCAATAAACAACCCCTAACTTCTGAAATGGTTGGTTACAACCTTGATCATAACCTTAAGGGCCTGCTCAACTGGCAAATAAAGGCCTAGGCTAGGCCTTGGACCTCCTTCTTATAGGTCGCCATTTTGAGTCTCCTTAGAGCCACTAGGGATGTTCCTGGTTGTTATTTTCAGAGCCTTATGGGATTAGTCAAGGTACACACAAACTGGCCACGACACCCATGGTTACCAAAAACAAAATGCTGATAATGAGTCTTCTACATTCTTCTAGTGTAGATTAATCATACAAAATTCAAATCTGCATATTCATTATCATTGAGCAGCCTTGTGTGCTTCTTCTAAGCTCTGTTATCAATTGATAGATATTTCCATGACTTTCAGAGGTTGATTGCAAAAGATGGAAATGTTCATCATTATCATTTATCTTTCTATTCTTTGCATGTACCCGTGTTCAAAACTGATAATGTAGTGTAATCCAAGAATTCAAGGCTTCTGAATCGCTTTACATGGAGCAAGTTCATATCTAAACATGCCATTTCTGATCGTCGTCTTTGTATATGCTGAGATCATGTTTAAACTCTTAATACATGGAGCAAGGTCATATCTAAAATGTTGCTGTTCTTTTAGATCCTTTTTCTGAAAAAGATTGTGTGAAAGGGTTTCTTGCAATTGAAAATTCTTTTAGTAGGTTGCAAGTTATTATGGCTGCTATCTGTTTCTAACCTTCTCTTTTTCTGTTAAATGAAAAATCTCTTTATATAGATCCTTTCGAAGGTATTTGGTATAGAGTTTTGGAGGGTAAAATGCGAAATCCTATCGAAAACAAGGTTTCGTTCTGAAGGGTGGGGGAATATGGGCCAAATCCATTCGTCACAAGGATGGAGGTGCGGAATTCTTCCTTGTTCTGTGTTCAACTCTTTTTGAAGTATATAATATTTATATATGCCAAATACTCGCACATATTTCTCATTTTTAGTGAGGTTTCAATCCTTGACCTCTTGGAAGACTGGACTTTACTAGTAAACTGGGTGCTGTTAGGTCAATGGCCCTTTGGTGTCATTTACTCATCTTGTAGGCTTTATTGGGCCCTTTGGTGTCATGTGCTCATCTTGTAGGCTTTGTTGGGCCCCCTGGTGTCATGTGCTCATCTTGTAGGCTTTATTGGGCCCTTTGGTGACATATACTCATCTTGTAGGCTTTATTGGGCCCTTTGGTGTCATGTGCTCATCTTGTAGGCTTTGTTGGGCCCCCCGGTGTCATGTGCTCATCTTGTAGGCTTTGTTGGCCCCCCTGGTGTCATGTGCTCATCTTGTAGGCTTTCTTGGGCCCTTTGGTGTCATGTGCTCATCTTGTAGGCTTTCTTGGCTCATTATGCATGGAAAGATGGTTTTACCTCACTATCTTGGCTTAGCAGGTTGATTGCAAGAGATGAAAAGTTACAGGTCAAAATTGGGGTTTATGAACGGGGGAAGACCCACATGGATAGATAAGGGGTGGCACAGACCATCGCTTCATAGTTCCGTAGGAAGGGGGAAAAGTTACGTTTTTTAAAGGTTTCACCGTATTGTTTTGTTGGGTGCCACCATATAGTTTTCGAAACTGAAATTTTAACACAAAACTTTAATGGCTAACATAAATGCTCTTGCCTTTGTACTAAAGCACCAGGTTCAAGTCCGCCTGTTGTCAAATTTGTTATTTTTTTAGCTTCAATTTTGGTGTTTTTTATATACTTGTTGTGTTTTTTAAAATATATGTAGACGAGACTTGAACATGGGTTTTTTCTATGACAAAAAACTAACCAACAAATCTATACTAATATTGTGACTTTTTACGGTCAAATTATGCCATCATTTGAAAAAAATTCTTGGTCCGCCTCTATTTATGAATGTTTTACATGGAGTGATGTTGGTAAGATCATTTATTCATCTTATAATGAGTAGAAATATATATTGGACTTGAGATCATGTGAGATTAGATTATAACACTGATTTTTTATAGCAAAACATTGAAGGTACAAAAAATACCGAACCTTCAAAGCAAAAACACCGTGAAGATACGTTTTTGTACCTTCTCAGTGTTTTTGCTGGAAAGGTTGAACGTTTTGTGAAGGTGTGCCTTACTAGTCTCTCGAGAACCCATCTAAGATCATATTTAAACTCATGAAAAGTTTTCTTCGTTGATGCATGTGTTCTCGAAAGACTATCTTCGCAGGAGAGTGAAGCTTTGTTTTCTACAATTTAATAGAAATTTGATCCAAATTTGCCCTTTTTCAGCTGAACCAAAAAAAGGCCCAATTGACCGGCACTCGTACATACATCAGGATTGAATTCCAACTGAAGGACCAGATTCGAGTGTCAAGATTCGGGGAGTAATTGATTTGATATACAATTGGTTCACCGTATTCTCCGCTTTAAGGTGAAATTTTCGATGTTCTAAATATCGTTATATTTTCCTCCCAATCACTCATCCTCCCACCCCCACAAGAAAAGCAACCATTTTTTTCACCTACTTATAAAAAGGCTTTTATGGTAGGCCTACTCAATAAGTTACTTAGATATCATGACAGGTTAAATGTAGGACATTGTAGACATATCAAGTATGGGTTGGGTCAAGTGAGACCAGCCTGATCTCATAAGACCTGTAAGACCACAATATAACACTAAAACTTCAGAGCAACACATTGTGAAGGTATAAAAAATACCGAACTTTTACGGTAAAAACACTGTGAAATATATAGTT